TATTGGACAGTGCTGGGCTTTGGATGTTGTTTTTTATCCATTAGCTGTGAACATTTGTGTTAGTGGGGTTTTGTGAGGCAAATTTTTTCAGTGTATCCAGCCTGAACATAGTAATACAAGATGAAGAAGTGACAGCTGATGAACGTGTTATCTCGTTGGGATTTTGATGGTCTTTTATAAGGGTAGTTTTAGAATTACTTGCTGATGTAGAAAATTGTTCTCATCACTGTGTAGCAGATAAAAATTACGTAGCAGATCAGGATGTTGATTTTACGTGTAAAGTCAAGGTTAAACACCTTGTGGATGTTGTGATGATTATGTGGCTTTTTGCAGTATTTGCGATATGGTGCAAAAGATTTTGAGTGCAAAGCAAAATGAGATTAACTCAGTAGATATTTACTCATAGAGTGAAGGCAGAGAGGTGTATTTGGGAAGCAGCAAAATGAGTGGGTGGGACTCCTTTAGTACCTTCTCTGTCACTGGCAAGAAGACAGAGTCAGAAGGTCATTTGTCATGCACAGGCTCAATGTGCTGGCTAGAAGACTTAAAATTCTTATTGAAGTTGGTAGACATGTATCCCCATGGTTTTGGAGGCTCTTAAAAGTTTTAAGTATATAATTAAAATGTAATTAAAATTACAGAGTAGTTTTTCTTACCCATGCCATCAGCCTGGCCTATTCATTGTTATATGTTGAGCAGAATAGGTTGGGCGATGCTTCTGCAAAGAAGAGAGACAGTGAAGACTTGGAACTGTCCAATTCCATGGCAGATTTGGAGGGTAAGACACGACAACATCAGCCTCATGCTGTTAGGAGAAGAGAGACAAGATACTGTTTTCAAAACATTTGTTGAATGCAGAATGAAGGATGCAAAGAGAATAGTATAGGTAACCGAAAGTGAGTTGGAAAGTCAAGTTGATGGGGAAGAAAAATTAAATTGGATAAAAAGGGGAAGAAAAGGACTGTTGAAGGAATTACACTGAGAATGTAAGTATGTTTGTAGATCACTAGCTATTTAGGTGGAATGGGCAGACTAGAATTTTGTAGTGTACTCATTTATAGTAACTTCTTTTGGTTTTCTTCTTCACTCTTCCTGCCTATCTTTTCTAATGTAAAGGGTTCAATACTGCTAATGGTACATAATTTACTTTAATAGTATGCAGAAGATAGTTGATGTCTTTCTTAGAAGTAAGAGGTTTTGCTTTTTCAACCCTTAAATGTTGATATGACCAAAATGATGTAACTTTGTCATTAGAAAATAGCCGTGATGCTTCAGATAGGGGTTTAGCTTTTCAGTGCTGCCTGGTCAGCAGGATTTTTCATATTCAGCCTTGAATATTGATACTCTCTTTACGTGTTGAAAAAAAAATTTCAACATACAGAGCCGTAATTTGTGTAATACTTACAAAATAGAAATTATCAGAAACCTGTGCAAGCCAGGTGAAGCCCATTAGCGCACTCAAAAACAGATGAGGAAAAAAAAAAAGCAAGAGTCGCTCTGATGGAAACCATAGGGGGGAAGCTGAAATTAGACCGTGTGTGGAGGACGCTGTCCTACAAAACATTTGAAGGTGAGAGCAAGAAGTATGAATGTGATTCAGGAGGCAATAGGGCTTCCTTTGAAGTTGGGAAAATTTGCCAGACTTTGTACAAGGTCTGTTTAAATAAAGACTGTCTGCAAGACTGAATGTAATATTTGGTTATTAAATAAAAGGGCATCTGCTCTCATAAAAGCCACCCTGTTTTGTTCGTGTATGTTATTGGCTATTTTCCTACTTTGTACAGGCTTTCTATAGAATGAGCTCATGGCAGCCTGACAAATGGAGCATTTATTGTGGCTAAAAGTACTGTAAACAAAACGAAAATAGCAAGTTTTATTGGCTTTTATAATACATTACAATTTTTTAAATTGGCAACGGTATAGTGGAATTGAGTATTTTAGGACTCAAATGTTGTTATCTGAAAACAGTGGACTTCATTTTCCAATTCTTTCTTCTCTTATATACAGTGCTGTTTTTTCTATTTGTTGCTCACGCCCATGTGTTGTAGAAAGAGATTCTAATAAGAAACATTTACAGAGTCAGTTGCTCATTCACGTGCAGCTCCACACAAATGCATTGCTTGCATTTGTTCTCGTCTGTTTAAAAAAGTAATTATTTGCCTTTGAATTTGAAGAAAATCATGATTTGAGTCTGCTTCTCATATTGTCTTGTTATGAGCTGAAGCATATGGAACCTTCATTATAACTAAAACAAGGTAAACTCTCCAAGGTAACAAAGAAACCTCCTTGAAATGCCTATGAAAATTAAATATCTGACTTTTATATGAAGATTTGATCCAGCAGTCATTATTCAAATAGAAATTCCACTCGAGTCCTGAGGAATTTTGCCGGGGTAAAGAGTTTATGATTAAATTTTGTTGGAATCAGTGGTAGTGTTGAACCTGGTCCTGGCAGGTAGAGGTCCTGTCCCTTATCTGTTATCTTCTGAGGGTAAGGAGAGTTTCTTTGTTTTCCCAGCTGAACTTGTTTTTAGAGTCAAGTTCTTCGAGGTCTACTTTGCAAACAAATGTTCAAGCTGCAAAGGCAATGCATTAGTTGTGTGCTGGAGATTTCTCCTTCAGACCTGGTAAATGTCAAAATAGTCCGTGGAGCTTTGCCCTTAGCAGGTGAGTGCTGGTTGTGGCACACAGTGGTTGTCAATTCATGATAAGAATATCGATAATTGATTTAAATGAAGTTTGAAAAGAAAAGGCTTTCATCTGCCCAGTGTAAGTTTAGGAATTTATGTCATGATATTGCTCTAAAACAAGTTAGCAACTGTCATATATTAATGTAAAGTTTTGGTAAGTCCTGAGTATTAAGATGAAATTCAGCAATCTTATCAGAGGTAGAGTATTAATATTTGATGGGGGGGAAAGAGAGAGAATTGGAACATGTATTTTTTTACAGTGTAGTCAGAGTCATTAAATCTGAATGTCAGAAAGAGAGGTCCTCCCTGCCTGTTAAGTCTCTTAAAACACTCATAAGCCTTATTTACATTTATGTGTATATTTAGTTCTGTGTAAGGAGTCATGGGGAGGACTTTCTCAGGTTCAGGCTGGATTTTGGTTTGGGTGGTTTTTTTCTGCACAGGCAGGATCTGTCTGAGCAAGGGCTTGCTCATTATGGCTGTGTATTGTTTTTATTTTTTTTAAAGATAATATATGAACAGACTTTCTTTCACAGAAGAGTCGTAAGGAAAGTAGGCTATCTTGCCTTCCAGTTTTTGTAATGTTATATATCACAAAACGGATTTACTCATGGTTCTGTTGTGTTTTTTTTGTAACGACTCTATAGACGGCTTAAAGTGTTTCTGGAATGAGTTACCAGAAGTGAAATGTTATTAACTAAAGGGAAAAACGATCCATCTTCTTCAGACACATAACATATTTCATGTTTTGCATTTCATTTAAAGTACATAAATGAAGTTACCTCACAACAGAAGAAGTTTGAACTTCTGGATCTACTGGTCTGGATTCATGTTGTCCAGTGCCAGGGTAGAGAAGGTCTGATATTTCTTAATTATTCTAGTTTAGTGCAGGATATAAAACTGTTTGGACATTAGAAAGCAACAAAAAGTCATAATACCCTTTATACTTTTGTTCTTTCTTTGGCAGATCACTTTTAGAACTGTTTGCTCAACTTAGAAAGTAATATCTCTGCCTAAAAATTTTACTTCAGCTGTCAACTTTAAAAATATTTATGAAATCTGAAAGGAAATTGAGGGTTATTTTTCTCCTTTCCTGACCTTGTTTTCTGTATTTGGCAGTATTGAATAATGCATGTGTAAGTGCATAATCAATTTTGCATCTGTGCTGATAGGCAATTTCATTTCTTAGTCTCCAGTTCAAAAGTTACTTTATCATGATAATGCCCCGTCGTGCTAGTGTGTGTGCATGGACTTCTCCTGACAGTGGGTTTAGAGCACGTCTTTGGAGCTGGCGGATCTGAAACATGCCCTTGTGTCCTCTTGAAATAGGAAAAGGCTTCTGATGATGAGTATGGGGAAGGGATTGGCTTTAGGTGAAGCTGTGGCAGGAAGATTGAGGAGTAATTCTGCAGATGCCTCTATGGGGCAGTGGAGCACAATAGGGGATGAATAAGACAACTGGATAATGATAAAGCCTTTGTTGGACCTGGCAAAGAAGCACACGAGTTTTTGAAACAGATGATCACACCTCTGATCTCTTTTCAAGGAGTGGGGGTTTATGTAATGGTTCCAAAGCCTGTGCAAATATTTTTGAAGTTAATCCTACTGATGACCTGCAAAAGAAAGGTGTTAGATACTCCTGTGTGCTCACCATTCTGCCTCCGGTGCTTGTGGAGTCAGTGTTGGTAGGATTTGCAGTTACAGAACTGAGATGGTAGTTGGCTATTCAGGGATCACAGGTACGTACTTTTTTTGCTAGTGCGGTTGGCATGAATCTTAACTAGTAGTTAGAAGAAATGGACAGAGGGGAAATATGTTCGATAGCATATAAACCTGAGCAAAATCAAAGGAGAAGAGCTTACTATGACATATTTACCACACGGTGTGCGTTCAGGTAGTATACAACACTGCTGAATAAAGGCCACTTCACAAATATCAAATATTCTTTTAAATAGGAAAATAGAATATATTTGTATTTATAATTAACATCAGATACAAATTCTCCTTTGTAAGCAGATGTGAGCTCATGAGCTTTGATGAAGTTTAGTAAGCTTCCATGGATTTGATTTTGGTTCTCGAAACAGGTGAAAACTGGAAAGCGCTTCATGCTTGCCTAGTTATTAAATTTTCTCTTCAGAACCAAATACAGACAAAACTGTTTCTCAGTATGTTCAGAATGTTTTCATTTTTTTGGTACAGAATGTATTTTTTGTATTTTAAATTATCTTGGCCAGATACTTAACCAACTAACCAGAGTTTAGTGACTAGCCTCCAGAACACACAACTTAACTTGCCCTTTTTCTTCCTTAAGGTGGTTTCCCCTAGAGTCCAGACAAGGGAAGAGAACTAAAGACAGAGGAGAAATAAAAGTCAATATTCAGTTTATGAGGAATAACATGACAGCAAGTATGTTTGATTTGTCAATGAAGGACAAAACCAAATCCCCTTTTGCTAAACTAAAAGACAAAATGAAGGGTCGAAAAAACGATGGGACTTTTTCAGATACATCCTCTGCAATCATCCCAAGTACTCACATACCTGATGCAAACATAGAGATATGTAGTGGTGAAGTACAAGTGAAATCAAAACCAAAAAAACCTTTCCTTTTGGGACCTCAGCGACTATCCTCAGCTCATTCGATGTCAGATTTAACAGGATCGCATGTCTCCTCAGAAAAAATGAAATCCAGCGCAGTTGGCTACTCTCATCTTTTCAGGCGCCAGCTAGAATCTTTTGGTTCGGTTGATGAAGGTGGTAAGTAAAACTCATTTTGTGTTGTTCAGTTACTGTGCAGCGATAAATTGCTGTCGCTTTCTAGAATGGCACAGTAATCATAGCTGTCTTCTTTTTAAAGCTTAGTTTTCATGTAGGAAATAAAAAATCTGCTGTAGTGTCTGTCCACGAACATTTCTAAACCTTGAAGTCAAGGCCACAGCTTTTTTTTATTTTTCCTTTTTTTTTTTTTTGAACAGCCTAGTTACTCAGCAGTGTTCTGAACTGAGACTCAATTGCAAAGCTTCTAGACCTAAGCTAAAATGCATTATCTGCATGTCATAAACTGTGATATGTCTCATTGATAATATACTAATGACACATTGTTTGCAGGGAGTCTAAAATCTCCACACAGAAGGACATTAAGTATTGATACTTCTAAAATGAACCCGCTTGACAGCACAGTTGATGAAACTACACTAGAAGCGCAAAACGACCCGTTTACCAATGTGACTGCTTCGTTACCCCAAAAATTTGCTACACTGCCAAGACAGAAGAATCCTTTTGAAGAAAGCCCGGCGACGTGGGATCCGAACATAAGTTTGTTTTCCAAACCTGTCGAAATCAGAAAAGAAATGAAAAAGGAGAAGAAAGAGAAAGTTAGTCTTTTTGAAAGAGTGACTGGAAAAAAAGATAGCAAGAGGTCAGATAAACTTAGCAATGGAGGATCAGACAGTTCTACTGACTTGAAATCACCGAGTGCATTTGGTGAAACTCATCAGGAGAGTTTTGATTATGAGCCGACTAATCCGTTTATGACAAACTTCAAGCCTACAAGCGTGTTGCCATCTTCAAGGTAGGTTTTTGCTGTATTTCGATCTGATATCTTGAACATGTTATATAAATGAAAATGTGAAGTGTTGAGGAACACAATCTTTATGCTTTATATCCATTGATGTCGTTGCTTTTTTTCTAAGGAAAAGTTAGTAACTTCTTACATAGTTTGATCCTGACTTTGTTTGGAAGTTACATTTATGTTACTAATAGGTACTGCGAATGTTCCTGGGTACTTGTGGGTATGTAAGACTTTGTGCTTCAGAATTGGTTCTTCCTGAAAGTTTTCTGCTTTCCCTGAACACTCGCTGCTAATTATTACACTGCCCTGACTCAAGATTTTAGAGGGAAGCATTTCAAGTCTAAGGGAAAGATGAAATGGAATAAATAAAAAGGTGAAGGAAATGTGAGTCATAAAAACAAATCCTGTGGATGCCACCATTTGGGGAAGAAATTGGATTTAGGTGCTATATGTTACAGCCCAAGAATTGAAGGCCATTCTGTTTCCACATGGGAGCGCTCACATGGGCACTTGCCACGCTTGAATTCTTTTAGCTCACTGTAGCTTTGCTGAGTTCCTGCATATTCAAGTTGTTGCACAAGGCAGCAGTTTATGTGCTAAGCAGAGTGAATTAAGTTACAGGGGCTGATAAGAAGCTTTGATTTAAATAATCCATTTTTATCTTTATTTGTCTATCAACAGTTAACTTGTTTTCCTTAAAAAAAAAGTGTATCCCACAATTTGTTTCCTGTCTGGCTTTTGTTTGCTAATGAGAGTGAGGAAAATTTACTCTCTCTTTGTGTGTGTGTATATATATACACACACTCACTCCACCATATACTGTTCCCAATAGATAAATATTTAAGCAGTTAGTTTTTTAACTTTTGCATTCTCATTTTTTCTGTGTATTAATACCAGAGATTAACGGTCCTTTCTTTTCAGAGTAATGGCTAATTTCTGTTTAATGACTTAAATTTAGTAGAAATTGAATTTGAAATTAAAAAACGCTCCAAACTGGAATTTTAAGGTTGTAAAATAAATCACTGTATCACTGTTTTAAATGGAAATTGTGGTTCTAACATACTTACCTTTTCCCTGTCTGTTAATTCCTTAATTAGTGACACAGTAGTATTATCCTCTAAAAAAAATCATTTAGTTGTTTCTTGTTCTATAAGATTTTATACCAGAAAGATCTTAATGTACCGCAGCTCAGTTTTATTCACAGGTTAGAATGCATGCACTCCTGATTTAAACTTATAACCGTTTTCTCAGTAAAACTAAGAATGGATGTGGATTAGATGAATGAACTGAAAATGGAACTCCTGCAGAAGAGATTCAGTTCCTAGAAGCTCGTACAGACTTCAATGAATTATCGTCTTAGTGTCTTCTATGAGTCAAGTCAGTTCACAGTGTCTTAAATAACATGTTTACAGACAGTCTTAGGATATTATTTATTTAATAAAGGATTTCTCTAGATTAGAGTAAGGTTAGGATGTAGCTTGGTTTGTCAGAAGTTAAACTTCCATTTAAATAAGCTCCTTTAAAGAGAAGTAATTTAAATAACAATTAAAATTACATAGCATTTAATTTTTTTAATGAAAAATTGTATTCAGGCAGATGCTAGATATAAGTAGTGAAAGCTTTTGAAGTTCTTGAATGCAGCAGATCTTGATAAATATAAATCTTGAACGGAAATCATGATGGACTGTTTCTTTATTTTGTAATTAAAAAGCTATCACAGTGCCCACTCAGAAGGACTCAAGTCATTTTTTCCTTCTCTTTGTATGAGTCTCTTTTTACTAGTTCTTGACTTTTATGTAAACAGAAACTTTTGATGAGACAAATAGATATTCTGTTATTTTCAACAAGCCAAAGACAGTAAACATTTTGGCTTTTTCTAGAAGACAGCTATTAAAGAATAATACCTAGCATGAAATAACTTAATAGCTCTCGATATTTATATGCTCCAGTATTATGTTCTGTGAGAATCTTTTAGAAAAAGTCGCTTTCTTTCAAATGTATCTTGTACAATGATTTTCTTTTGAAGTAGAAACTAATACAAAATGTGCATATTTAATAAGTTTACAGTTTAAGTTTACCTTTTATCTGTGGAGGATTTGTTGAATAGAATCAATTTTTAATTTTTCAAACTAGTAATACTGTGAAGAAAGAATTCTGGAAGTCTGTGGGCACGAAATAAATAAATGAGGCTGAATAACAAGTTCAGTATGCAGAAAGCATACACAGGGAATTTAGGCTTTGAGTTGCTTCTTTATTTACTCAACATGCGATTAAGCTCTTTTGGATGGATACCATTTCTGCACGTACACCAAGCAGTATCTTTTTATTAAGGTGTGCGGAAAATCCATGTTCCGGTGTGGACGAAGAGTTTGCTTTGCAGGTGGATCTCCCAGTTAACCCCACTTAGCTAAGATTTGGTTTGAGGGCTGGAGCAGCCCTGGGGCTTGTGAACTGGATTCCTGGCTGATGAAACTCCACTGGAAGATGTATTCCAGGAGCGCACAAAAGGGAGTTCAGGCCATGGGGCCAGGCTAGAGAGAGTGCAAATTGGAAGAAAGAAAAAAAACCAGAAACCCTCTTCCCCCATCCTCCAAAGAAAAAAAAAATAGACCAACCCCAACTCCTGGATGTGCATGTTCTCAGCACCGATGAGCTGATGTCTGTAAGGTTAGTGGGAGTCTTCTCAGTGACTTTGGTGAGCTTTGGGTCTGGCTCAAGCCTGTCCTAATTAATTGTGGTTGGTAACGTTGACGAAGCAGAAGGGATGTGCAGGACAACAGCTCGTAACAGTGTCGCTACCTGATGGCTGGGTGAGAGCTGCTGAACAGCCCTACTCAGCCAGTTTTAAGTGCTAACCGGCTCTATGCATACTCTGTCACTAATTACTCTTATTTACTAATTAAAAGAATCAAGATAAATACATCTTTCTCAGCTGCTAATACAGAAAACGTGGAAGTGGTTCAGCAACAGTTATGGGAGGTTTTTTCCTCCTAAAAGCAAGAAATATCCCAGGATTATTTCAAAATTATTATTTATTTTCCTTACTTATTATTGCTATTTCAAGAAGGTTTAAGAACTATTTTCGAAAAACAAAAATTGTCTCGTTTGTGTATAATACTAATTGTCAAGAAATCAGAAAATATGGACCCCTAATTTAATCTCTGCTCTGGCAAAGCCTTATTCTGTGGCTTTGGCTAAATCACTTAGTCTCTCTGCTCCTGATCCGTAAAAAGGAGATGATATTTTGTTACCTCTTGCAAATACTGAGTGGATAAATTTGGGGTTTTTTAAGGGTTTTATAGATACGGTATTACGTAAGCCTGAAGGTTGAGATTTTTTTAATTGTCTGGTATAGGTGTAATATAGAGATTTATGAGCTGATTTCTTGACTATATATAAAAATGCTGCAGCCTCATAGTGAAACAAGAAATGCTTTTTTTGGAAATATTACAAAAGCTGTTAGTTCCAGAGGATTTATATCGTACAAACAATGAAGAATTTTTAAGCACAGTATATGTCTAGTGTTTTTTAGCCAACATTTACCAATAATAGTTCTGCCTTTGTACTTCTTAATCCACTGCTTTGAAACTTTTACCTAATATTATCTTAAATAGCATTCATTTTGCAATTACTGCTGCTGTCATGGCTCGCGAGGTTAATTTACAGTCTGGAAGCCACGTGGGTTTTGTATTGGACACAGTTAAAGAAATGGAGGATACTCCTGGAAAACAAAGATTGTTTTATGCCATGACCGAACCTTGTGCATCATTTCTCTGAAATTGTTTGTGTTTAGGAAAATACACTACAGTAGGCTAATAAACTGATGTGAAAATTTCTCAATTTACACCACTTGACAAGTGCTAAAAGAAAAGCATCTTTAATTTTAATGTGTTATTAGGACCTTTTTAGAGAGATTGTACAAGTTATTAACAAGGTCCTCTGAGACAGGAGACGGGTAATTAACAGGACCTACAGAAAGGGAGTTTAGGTAATTAACAAGATTTTAGGCACTGGACACAGGGAAACAAATCGTCCAATATTTAAAGCTGACAGGTTGTTACTAGTCTGATCAAATTCCAGATCTGGGAAACTGAAGTGAGAAGTGTTGGGGAGTTTTCTGAGAGACATCGTATGTAAATATATATATATACACACAAACAGTGTAAGTGTATGTTTGTATATACATATATGCATACATAGAGAGACATGCATTAAGAAGACCTTCTAAAGTAACACTTCCATGGCCTAAGTATTGTTAAACTTAGCGAAAAGAAAATAAAGCTTTTGCCTACTTACCGATTTATACTTTATCTCAAGTTCTGGCAATAGATGTTACATTTTAAGCAATGCGGAACATGGAATAGTGGAGGAGAAAGATACATGTTTCTTACTAGGATTCACTATAACAATGGATAATACTCAGATATCTAAGTTTTGTTATTGATCAACTGGAGTGTAAAATACAAAAAAATGTTACTTCAATTTTGTTCTCATGCTGCTTCAGCGTTTTTTTAAAAATTGTAACTCAAAAAAAACCTAACACACCAACCCTTAAACTCATCTCTTTTGCATCTTTCTGCTTTGTCTGTCATTTCTGAAGGTGCTTGTTTTCCTCAGCCTCTCTCCCTCATTCCGTCACCACACGCAGCCGTTGGAGCTGCCTGCCTCTCCGATGTTGTCAGTGTCTGCGGTTTCATCGTTCCCAGTGGATGCAGTGTTTGAAATGCACAAGCTTTCTGCATTTTGATGTGCTCATTGCTGGTTTTGGAAAAAAACAACTGAGGTGCCGTGAAGGCGTGATGCTTTTGGTAGCCACAATGTATTCAGATCACATTAAAACGTTAAGACTTAAGAACAGCTGATTGCTTTTACATTTTGGCAAATATTAAAAATTTTATGTGTGGGATGGTCAGCTAGTTAGAGAAGCTTTTGTGAAGTCATGGTGTCACTCTGACGTTCTAGGTTACTGCTTGTCAGCTGAGCTCTGTAAGTAGAGCAGA